GTGTTTCTTAAGCCAGGCTGTGGTGAGATCGTCGAGCCGTGGATTGACTACAAAACCCGTACTCCATTCTCGATGATCCATTCACAATGTCAAAATTTCTCCAGTAAAACACCGTCGCCATAACATTTAGATATCAGCATCTTCATCTGGTCTTCATCTGGTCTTCATCTGGTCTTCATCCGAGAGGCACATCTGTACTGTTCAGAGGGAAACGTCCTCTGCTGCCTTGTTGCCCCCTTGACCTCCCTTGCAGGATCTCTCCTTGTGATGCCATAGCTTGTTTGACGAGTCTTGTTCAATCGTTACTAAAAACAGTTATGGCCGTACACATCAATGGCCGGCACCTACTGTGGCGCAAACCCTTCAAAACCTCTCACACCGATGGTGAACTGCTAGACTTCGAAAAGAGTCGCATCAACTGATGGATAGAACGAAATACGGGGGTCAGCCTGTCCGTCTTCCACCTCATCGGAGAGTGCCCGGAAATTGCCGAACAAGAAGCACGGACCTCACCAAGGTCATCGTGGCGGTGACTATTCGGAGATGGCTTATCCAGTGTTACCTGAAAACACTAACTTAAGAGCACTAACGTGCCAACTGCCATCCAGTGTTACCTGAAAACACTAACTTAAGAGCACTAACGTGCCAACCGCCGTGTTCTCCCGGGCCTAGAGTTTACCTGTAGCGCCAAGCCCTGCGCTTCCTCAGTGACCACTAACCAGGGAGGGTTTCAAACCTCCCGAATAGCGCACCGGAAAAAATGCTAACGCTAGCGCTACCGGAAAACTTGCGGCCGCCATAACGTTATCGTGGAGTCTTTTCCTATAGAAGCACTCTGTCAAACACTCGCCCGTTTGTTCTCTTTTTAACACCTTTCTTATACCCCTTTTCACCCCTACAGGCATGATGAATTCAAAACACAGACGCCAGAGAATTCCTGCACCCATGGCTTGCCATCCTCTTTTCGAATACAACTGTTGACATTTTCCATTTCTCAATTGACCACACATCACCTTAAGCCACCAGTACTTCCAAAGTTTGCGGTCATACACGCGGCACAAAAAGCTGGGCCGAACGGGCCTGGAGATTCCAGTCCAAATCCATTCAACTCGAACTGATGCAGCCCCACGGCCCATATATGGGCGAAGTACTGGTGGTTTAATCAACCTGCACATGGAAAGCATGCGCACGGCTTGCACCGACGACAATAGGGTCCAAAAAAACTGACACCCCCAAGCTTAGATAAACGTCGCTGGAGTTAGCTGCTGATCTAGTGCACAGCATCAAGGCATCCACCCCCAGATAAACTACCTACAATGGAGGGTTCTACCAAAACAATTGTAAGGCAGTTAGACACCCTCGGATGAAAGAGTGGTGTTTCAAACTTGGTAGTCACTGATGACCACCTCTCACGCTTTCCTTTTCGTTTTCCCATCCTTACTTTTGTAGGTTTGCTGGTAACGAGAATAAACTCTCACCCATATTTTACCAATTCTCCGAACATAAGATCCTGAGTACCTATGACAGTAACCACATCGGCCAGCATTTGATGTTTGAACATAAAATCAAGCACTCGTAAATGAGCAAAACCAGGTGCTCAGATTTTACAACGATAAGGATGTTTGATTCCGTTGCTAACTAAATATATACCAACTTCTTCACTTGAATTCTCCCCCTCATGCAGCCGCCTACTCTCTCTCTCTCTCTCTCTCTCTCTCTCTCTCTCTCTCTCTCTCTCTCTCTCTCGTGTATGTATGCAC